TAAAATAGGATTCTCATTGAGCTCTTTGTTGTTTTTTTCTAGGCAACACTACTCTCGTTCACCAAAGGAACCACTCTATCACTTTTCTCATTGGACAGCCAAACTTGTCTAGAGCTTGTTGTTGGGCGATCAAGAGCTCACTAAGCGCTCCACCTTCTTTGTGGATCCTTTCGCTGGGTGACCATATCTTGTTGGCGATAAAGATCCTCTGTGGGTCCTCATGTCAGGTGCAATATGTCTCATTAGGCAAGCTTAGTCACATAATCATTCTTTCATTGGGCGACGCATCTATCGCAAACAAGATTGTGATTTTGGGTAGATGTTCATTTGTTCATGAATAAGCGTTGGGCACCACAAACTTGCATTGGGTGAGAATATGGTTTTCACCTAAAACAACACAACTCTTCTTCTCCAAACTCATCAATTTCTTGTCTAATTCAACACCCAACCAACATTTTAGCATTTATACAACTTAAACATCTTATATTCAACAAAAAAATATAACATGCTACATCAATACATCTCAAGATCATTCATTCTTCTCCCAACCACCAACAAAACCCATAAACTTATGGCAATAAGGTTCAATCTTTCAATTTTCAACATTTATGCCATCCAAGACATGATCAACACAACAAAATCAACATATTCATCAAAGATGATTAAACTACAAGCTTCCCTTACTTCAAATCCTCAAGTGATAAGGAAAGAAAATAAGACCAAGGCTTCTTGAGAGTTCTTTGTATGCTAATTTCTCTTACTAATTCTCTATTCCTCAGCTTTGAATCTCAAATCAACTATTACGATCTCTACTCCAGGAAAGGATTAGATCACTTATATGAAATCAAAAGAAAGAACAATCTCCTTTAGCTCCAAAGTCTACCTCTTTAAAACCTCTCTTTAAGAACTCATAAAAATGAATTTATAAAGTTCAAGTTCTCAAAAAAACTTATATATTTTCTCTTGTTTTAGGTCAACTTTATCCCGAAATAAAACAACTCTAAACAACTAAATCTTTATGAATTTCTTAATTCTTATAGTTCTAAAAACACAAAAAAAAATCACATTATCACAAGTCAATTAAATATTGAAAATTAAAATAAAATATATAGCTCATAGCATAATATTGTAAATCTTAATTAAATGAAGGAGTATTGATAATAATATATTTTAAATACAAATAATTTAGTTAAAATTTGTTTATATTTAAAACTAATAAATATTAAAAAAATTCTTATATTGATGGGAAAAATAAATGCTTACCAAATTGATTGACATTCTTCCGTTTAACCTACATATATATTTTATGGTATAGTCCCATGGCGTGCAAGTAAATATGGCCATACTATTTATTGTCAAATAAAAATGGGATATAAACTTAATCATGAATCAAGACAATTACGTTGAAAGAACAAATAATTTATTTTTTCAAGTGAAAATCAAATAGAATCCAATTTTTATTGATTAAAATGAATCATATCGCTGCATACAAATTTAATTTGCATGAAGTCATGAAAGCTAACAGTTAAAAAAACATTAATTAGACACAACTATCAGTTTGAGTCAAAACCCATTTGAATTACATGATCTTGAAATACTTAATTTTGTCAAAACTTTTAGTTAAGGAATCAACATGCCATTTTATATCGATAGATACCAACTTCCTTTCGGTATCTACTTTTACATTCAAGTACTTCATATCAATATGAATGTTTCAATTTCCAATTTTATTATTTATTGTAAAGGACACAACAATTGAATTATTACAATGAATATTCAGATCTAACAACTTGAATACCGTAAATAAAATTTCTTAACCATAAACGCTTGGGATGTAGTAGCTTCATAGTAACTAATAAGATTTTCCTTCACATGCAATGGATGGTAGGATAAAAAATGGTTTTTTCTCTTACAAGAAATAGCATCTTCGATTAAGAACATTGTAGTATGAAATAAATTGTTTTAGAGTATGTTTGGAAAAGTATTGGAAGAGTTTATAAATTAATTTTATTAGTTTATAAATTAATTTTATCAAAATAATTAAACTTGTTTACAAACATATTTTAATTTAGTAGTTTTTAAGGTTTAAGGTTATATAATTTCGTGATTGTATTTATTTTTTAATTTTTATTTTAATTTATTTTTGGTAAATATACTTGACTTTGTTAATTGCACTAAACATGCATGATAAATAGGAATAAGAATAAGTCAAGTCAAGCTAGACTTTAAATATATAGGTTGGGTCTGTTCTACAAAATTAAAGCTTAAACTTGGTCTATTATCTATCATAGACTTTTTTATAGGTCATGTTTAACCTTTTTAAAGTATAATCTGACCTATTAGTCTATTTAAAAGTCTATTTAAATTATTAATGTTAATTAGACCAATAAACTTAATTTTTAAAAATTAATAAATTACTTTTAAAATGTAGTTTATTTAATATTATTAAAACAAATTTTAAAAAAAAATATAGAAAAAAAATTGAATTATTTTTTGTTGAAGGGACAATTCATACGTAACCATATATGTTAATGTACATTCATGTACAGATAGTATACTTATAAACCTACAATAAAAAAAATTGTATAAAAAAATATTTTAAATATTGATAATTTATTTTTATTTTATAAATTTATTTATTTATTTATATTTTTAATAATATATATATTATATTATATAAATAAATAGATTGACTTATCAGGCTTAACAATTTTTTTTATAAGTCTAAGTTTGACTTTTTATATAAGAGTTAATCACCTATACACTATCAGTGTAAAGTTTTTTTACACTAACAACCAATCATATCTTTTAATAATGTCATGTTAGCTGCTTATTTAATAAAATAATAATAAAATAAATAACTTTGAAAGATATGATTGATTGCCAGTGTAAAAAACTTTACACTAGCAGTGTATAAATGATTAACTCTTTATATAAACATATTTTTTTAAAGAGTTAATCATCTATACACTGTCAGTGTAAAGTTTTTTTACACTGGCAACCAACTATATCTTTTAAAACTATATCTTTTAATTGTGTCATGTCACTATAAACACATTTACTTTTAACAGTGACATGGAACAATTAAAAGATATAATTGGTTGTCGGTGTAAAATTTTTTTACACTGGCAGTGTATAAGTGATTAACTCTTTTTTAAAAGCCTAAACTTAACATTTTTATTAAACATAGGCTGAACAAGGTTAAGTCAGATCAGACTTTAAAAAAAATAAATCATAAATCCCTGTTTAAGATATGACCTATTCCCGTCCCTAATAATAAACACTAAGCATGGACAATACATTCAATATTTAATATGACTAAAATAATTTATTGGATTTATTAGTGTACTATTTTTAATTTAAAGATGTGATGTAATATGCTTAGGTTATAGTTGAATGTAACAAATTTTGTTTAACTCCAAAGTAATAAAATGTTATTTATATATATAT